TCGAGCCCGTGTGAAATTGAATCCAAAATCAAGTTTCTTGCCTCCAATTTTGGTTTCTTCCTTCTCCCTGGTCGTTCTCCCCTTTCATATGATGATTTTTGGTATTTATATCGCGTCCAATTTAAGTAGGGAAGGAGTTTCAACCAAAACGAAAAACCGCGCCCGAGTGTTAAAAATCCTTCTATGCGACCGCATAGAAGGAATCTATGCGGTCGCATAGATCAATTTGTTTGGGCTCATTGAGTCCCTGGAGCCTTCTATGCGACCGCATAGAAGGTTACACTATGCGGTCGCATAGATGTAACATCTATGTGGTTTGTCCAATTTGGTCCCCGAACTTCTTTGTTGCTTCTCTTGACTTCTTTCTTCGATTTCTTCATCTTTTCAACAAATTTTATCTTCCAATTGATGATTGATACCATCAATTCTTATGCCCCTCATTCGGCATATCTTTTGAGTATTTGCGCTTTAGTCCTCCAACTTTCAATTGTCTTCATTTCAGTCCCTCTTCAATATTTTCTTCTTCCAGTTGTTTTGCTTTGTCATTGAGCTCATACTTGGCATGTCTTCCCTCTCTTTTTGCATTTAGCTCAACTTTTCAATATTTGCGCCTTTGGTCCTCGAACTATCAAATTGTTGCGTTTTGGTCCTTCTTCGGCTCTTTTTTCCTGAATTCCACAATTTCCATTGAATTACCTACAATGCATAAATTTAACTGGATTAAGTCACAATTCAACCATTTTATCCATGTTTAAGTCATGTTTATGATCCAAATAAGTGTGTAAAAACACACTTATCACATAAGTATTGTTAGGGTTGGGCAAAACTTAACCCAACCCGATCAACCCAAACCAACTCGATTGGTTTGGGTTGGTTTTTTAAGTTCAATTGATTTGGGTTTCGGGTTATGGTTTAAAACCCAACCCAACCCGATGATTAAGAAAATTAATATCTAAATAAACACAATATTAAAAATATGAGAATAACTTATAATTTATGAATGTCCATTTTCTTTTCATAGATTGATTCACGCGAACACTATGTACAAATGAAATATTATTTGACAATAAAGTAAAAATTAATAACATGACGATGAAATGAATGAATCCCAAAAAGATGTTAAAAAATAAAAAATACTTTATAAATTTTAAACTCATGTGTATATTATTTTTGAAAAATAATTTCTTATATAGGTATTTAAAAAAACTTATATTTTCAAGTAATTTCAAATTTTAAAAATTTATCCAAATCCGACAAAAAAATAGTTGGATCTAACTTTAATTAGGCCGAAGCCCAACCCAATCAAGTTTGGGTTGGGTTTAAACTATTGATTTTAGATGAAAGTGGAAATTACAGGTAACCATACATTAAAAATCCAATTATCTAAAATCAAGCCCAACCTTTACTTATTCATAAATCAGATTTTTTTTAAAAAAAATATTTTTTTTCAATTAGATAAATCATGCATAATTGTATCTTGTGATTTTAGAGACTTAAAAATGGAAAACTGACATGCATTCCCATACGTCCAGTCTAATTCTACACCACGTCCATATTTTTGTCATCGATTCTCGCGAATTTTCAGTACCCAACTCCAATATTCGGCGAAAATCTTCGGCGCAGTGGTCACAACCGTCAATGTTCTATATACTTCCATTAAAGTAACACCCTTCGATTTTCCATCCATCTTTGTGTAAGCGGCTTCCAATAGATACAAAAAAATGACCCTTTCAAGCAGTGCAAATCGAGCGAAGAAATCGGAAGGCGAGCCTTCGGGCAGTGCAGGTAAACGGAAGGCTGAACAAATACGCGAAAATTCCCCTTCCAAATGGCATAAACCATCACGATCAGTCCCATCAAAGAATACGAAGAAGGTTTGTTTTTAAATTCAGCGAAAGTTTTCTTTAGTTAGAGCATGCATCTGGACTTTGAAATGGATGGGTAAGAATTATGTTAGATGAATTTTTTGTTTGGTGACAGACCATGCTATCTATTTTTCTGGACATTGTTATTCTATTCAAAATGTATAATAATTTAAAAGGATAGTATTGTTGTGTGATTATGAGGGTTGAGTTAGGAAGCCTATAAGGGGATTTGTGACCTATTAGTCATTATTGTGGCCTGTGTGTTCATCGGCGACCAAGTATTTTTTTATTTGTGACCAATGCTCAGGCATTGATATACATTTTGAGGGGAATTTTTGCTGTTGTTAGTGTAAATCTCCTTTTCAAGTTCATATTCATGTTGTGACCTTTATAACAATGTGTGACCAATTACTTATTCTGTGTTGTGACCAATGCGCAAGCTTGGAGATCTATCATACCAGAGAATAGTTGGTTTCTCGGTAAAATCACGATTACACCCAAGAAGGGTGTGCTGTCTAATTTCAAAGCCAACCTTAATGAAGACCAACAGCGTATACTGCAGAACACATGTGTTGCACACTTCATGGAATGCGATGAAATTGCTGTACAGTCGCAGTTGATACATTATTTCCTGTTGAGGCAGGTTCGCCAGCATAATGAGAATGAAATGTGGTTCAATATAGTTAGGAGGCTTGTAAGATTCTCTGTATTGGAGTTTTGTTTGGTGACTGGTCTTAGATACTTTGGTGATGTGGATATGAATCAGTTGGAGAAGACTCCCTCGCGTTTGAAAAGGAGATACTTTAGTAACTTGAAGGTGGTGGCACATGCAGATGTAAAGGAAAGATTTCTTTCTGCTGGTGACATTCCAAATGAGGATGTTTCAAGACTTGGTGCGTTGTATTTCATTACTTTGTTTTAGTAGAGGATTTTAATCTGATGGACTCGTTCCCATGGGGTAAGTCACTCTTTGAGACACTAATTAGTTCATTGAGGGAGGGTTTGAGCAAGAGAACGACCCATTATAGACTACGAGATCTTCTAATAGCATTTTAAGTATGGATTTACGAGACAATCCCTACCCTCGATGGATATGTAGCAACAAGGACCTCAAGATCGTATTCCCGAATAATGAATTGGACGGCAGATGATCACCCACCTGCTGCTAAGCTTGACGGACCTGATTGCTTCTGTAATCCCAAAGTAATTATCTTAACACCATTTACTATACGTCAATGTATCTCAAATGTGCTTATCCTTAAGTCACAAGTCGTAACACAGAACTTAAATAGTTGTGTATCTAAGTCAGATATTATACATATCAAGTCACAACATATGTTCATTGACTCACAATTAATAATATACAGGTCACAGAACATACTCATGACATGCATCACACGGTTATGACCGTACATATACCCAGTTACTGTTACAGCTCATTGCTTGGGTTTATTATTTTGTATATCGATGTAGTGTGCTGACATTACAATGTCTTTGTGCTTGGAATGGCAGATAGAAATACGTGACCTGGACCCTTCAGACATGAAAATGGCAATGCCGTACATGTATGAAGTACAATATATCAAGCCTGTCCAACTGGAACGTGCACGTGGGGAGGGGAGAAGAGAAAGGGAGGTATGGTGGACAAATCAGTTCATTCCATCAGGACAACTGGGAAGCCGAGTTACTCGAGTAAAAAAACATCTACGCCACTGCTTATGATTACGGATGGTAGACTTGGTCACTCTGATGTGCCTCTTGACGATCGTGATGACGATTTTGTTGACACCCTACCCAGATGGTAGGGAAAAACGTTCAATGCCAATTTGCCTAGTAGGGAGGATCAGCCGGCGCCAAACGATATAAGTTGTTAAATAATGTCAGCTGTGGGTCACGGGTCACATTTTCTAGCTAACGGTTTTTCTGTCAATTCATTACGGGTCACAGGTTATTCCACCTTTTGCTGTGTTCATGAGTCGTCGTGTGCACACATCACATGTATTAGAAACATGTCATAGAACGGGTCACATGTCACAGGTTATGACACATTCAGTTATTATTCTTGGTGCAACATCGTAGTTCGTTTCTATGTCATAGTTTATAGGTCATTGATCTGTTAGTTCATTATGGGTCGCAGGCATCTGGACTATAGATGTTTTCACCATTTTATTGCCACTGATAATGGGTAGTCATGTGGTGTAGGTGGTTGATGAAATGCGAAAATAGTTTTTCAAACAATTAACTGAACTCCAAACTGAGAATCGTCGGATGAGTGTGGTAATCGATGCGATGAAGTCAGAGATATTGTCGCTCAAGCATGATCAGCAAAACAAATTGAACAATATTATCCACATGCAAGGTGAAATCCATACAGATTTGATTGACATCAGATCGAACTTACAGTTTATGACCGAATCTATGACCGCCTTGATTTCTAGTTCCATGGAAAAAATCTTGACCAAATTCAGAGATAAATCTGGGTTAAACATTGTCAGAGATTATGAACCTTTGGATAAGGTAATCAACATACCATGTGATCTCATAAAATGATATATGTTCATTTGTCTATGAACTTTGACTATGATTATACATTTTATGTTACAGGTTGGAGATGCTGAAATAACAGTTGATTCTAAAGGCAAGGGTAAGATGGAAACCGACGTTGACGTTGAATTTCCATATAGCCTACAACCTCCATCCTTCAATCTGGGTATTTGTTTCACGCAACCAACACCCATAGAACCAAGGAAATCAAAAAAGGTGGAAACGTATGTTGCGTTTGTCGTATATGATGTTCTGAAGGACACGAAATTTGCTGAGAAGGTGGTAAGCCCAGATAATTCTGTCAGCTATGTAAACTACTGTGCGTTGCATGTTTCAGCAAGTCATAGTCCATATTAAATTAACATGCAGGAGTCTCCTATTTCTGCGCAAAGTTCTGGATTGCCTGTTAAGAGGGCTCCTAAGCCGGCTAAAGCACTTCAATCTACGTATGTTCATGAAGGGAAGCAAAACAAGCATTCTAATAATGTCGTAATCTTCCAACACTACAATCAGTCTGTGGACCATGCCGATATTGCTGACTTTCAGAGTTGGTTCCAGAGAGGATATAAGCCACATAACAAGTATGCTTTATTTTTTGCATATCATTATAATTAGTTCGTGTATGAATATTCAATCAAGTTTTCTTTGCAGGAAAAAGTTTAATGACCGAGATGATTGTATTCGTCCACCTTTTCTTGTTGGTCAGTTCCTCATCGGAAATAAAACATGGTGGTATGGACTTGTGTCTAGGGATGTGTCAATGAGTAGTTCGGTATGTATCCTTTTGTAAGTCTCAATTCATATGCGTAGGTCATAGATTCCATGGTCATGGTCATAGCCAAGTAACTATATGTCACTGCCTGCGTCCTTCTTACATTCCAGCATTTATAAAGTTAATAATGCGATACACGTGTTTCATATGTCCCAATGCAGGTCACATTTTTGTATACATAACATGTCACATGTAATGGTCACAGGCCATTTGAGGTTGGTCGCAGATAAAGGAGAAAAGGTCACAGTTTATTTACAGAGTGCACTCCAGCATATTTTCTGGTCACATTTCACCCTGCACAATTTAGAAGATGGTGGTACGAAGTTGTGTCTAGGTATGGGTCACTGAGTTGTTCGGTGTGCATCTATTTGTAAGTCTCAATTCATATGAGTATGTCATACATTCCATGGTCATGGTCACAGCCAATTTATAAAGTTCGCAATGCCATATGCATGGTTTGTATGTCCCAATGCAGGTCACATTTTGGTATGCATAACAGGTCACATGTAATGATTACAGACCATTTGCGGTTGGTCACAGATAATGGTGAATAGGTCACAGTCATTTACAGAGTGCACTCAAGCATATTTTCTGGTCACAGTTCACCCTGCACAATTTATAAGTCAATTCAATCTCACAGTTTTCCATTTTTTTAGCATATGGATGTGTGCTTCTACTACATACGTAAGTTACCAAGTAATGGCAAAAACATTAAAGTCATCGCCAGCACGACCGACACGTTGTTTCAAGCTAAGCTGAAAAACATGTACCACAAGTTCAAGTAAGATCCAGAGGTAATTGTCACGGATGAGAGACTCATTGACGACATCACAGGTGCACGAATTCCATTGAGCAAACCTTGGGCAGAAGTGGACCTTGTGTTCATGCCCATTCTGCCTACAAACAAAACACATTAGATACTTGCAGTGCTTGATATCAAAAAGCAGACCTTACTTGTATTAAATTCGGCAAGGGAAACATACAATGACATCAAGATCCTTATTGGAATTGATCCTTTCGTTAAAATGATCCCTCACCTCATGGACCGTATTGGAATTTGGAGAAAGAATTCAGATCCATCTGCTGACGATTCCAAGGACTTGAAGGTGGTGCTTAATTCCTCCGTCCTGCAACAGAATAATGGGTAATTTTTGTCACCGAGAATTTAAACATACTGAAATAATATGATTCTACACATAATGGACTGGAATTTTTTTCACTTTGCAGGCATAACTGTGGCATATATGTGATTAAATATGCCGAGTACATGCTTCTTGACGATTTAGGATCGATGCCGATGAAATTCGATGCGGTTGGAGCACGTCTGGATGTTGCATCATTGTTATTCAAGCACCGTGAAATCAGTACAGAGAGGAAGACGTTGCTGCCAACCGGTGGAGATAGTATAGTTATTGAGTGATATTAGAGGTGTAGTTTGAAAATACAGTAGAATGGAATGTGAAGTGTGGTTATGGATAATTTTTTTGTTTGCTTTGAACAAGGGTGTTGTGTTATGGGGATACTCTTTTGTATTTGATTTAAGCAACAGTATTTAAGTAATAGTTTGAGTTTTGGATTCATGTGTCTTAAAATTATGTTTTGAATGTATTATTCAGCTTGAGATATTGCGTCACATAAAAAGTCACCTAACATGTCACAATCAGTATAATATTCTTTGTGCACAACCATAGTTCGCTGCAAAGGTCACAGCAACTGTAAACAGGTCACAGAAGAAGTCAACGACCAGGTCACAGTTTGATGTATATTGTTCATATCACAGACAACTGGAAACAGGTCACAGCAGAGATCACATGTTCAAATCCTTATGCACAGTCCTTGCCAACAGGTCACAGTACGGGTCACATGTCACATAAAAGGTCACCTAACATGTCACAATAAGTATAATATTCTTCGTGCACAACCATAGTTCGCTGCAAAGGTCACAGGCAACTGGAAACAGGTCATAGCAAAGATCACATCTTCCAATTCTTTATGCACAATCTTTTGCCAACGGGTCCCAGTACGGGTCACATGTCAAATAAAAAGTCACCGAAAATGTCGCAATAAGTATAATATTCTTCGTGCACAACCATAGTTCGTAGCAAATGTCACAGGTCAATGTTCTAGGTTTACATAACATCTAACAGACCATTTTTTACCTGTGACACCCTAAACTCGTTTATTATGAAATGACTGTAACAACCGCCCAGTGAAAGTTCGCACTGTAATGGTCACAACACACGTCACAGGTTCTTTTAGGGTATACCCAATCCCCACCTGTCATGTTTGCTTGTATTTAAAAACATGTTCATGTGGAAAGAACATTACAAGTACAATAGTAAAATATACTTATTATAAGGTTTGAACTTGGAAATGTTGTTATTAAATAAATATTTTTGTCCTCTAACAAATTGTGTCCGATATTACATTCAAACAATGAATGAAAAAGTAAACCAACTGTCTTAACGGAACCAAACTGTTGCAAGTTCCGTGATATGTATCATCAGTTGACTTCCTTATTTTTTTCTTTGTTTTTTCGATTAAATCTGACTTAATGGAACCAAACTGCTACAAGGTCTGCGATTGTGACCACTTTCACCGCAACGACCGTATTTGACAGTTATGTTATCTTCAACTGCATATCTAAACCTCTTCTTAGTAGACCTTCCGCAACTTCGCTTTTGATTAGGTGGTAAAACGACTATGTTCTCAAAGTCTTTGGGCACTATCCATTCATTTGGATTTCCTAAAGGGAAAATTGTTTCGTTGTAAGTATTCTTGTATGCTTCTCTCGTGTAATAATATGAACAAAATTCATATGGATCCATCTTCACACTTGCAATCACAGCCAGAGCGTGTGGACACGGTAGTTGATCAACTTGAAGCATCTTATACGTGCATGTATGTCCTTCTATATCAACAACAAAAGTTAATTTTGCACAGCTGGCTGAGAACATTGCCTGATTAATACGCGCAACCTACAACCAAAAAATAATATAACAAATGTCAATAAGAAGTTGGCCACAACGAACAACTTACAGGTCACAGATAACATTTCAGGCACAAATGTTGACATTATCCTCAAGTTTCTCATATCCGTGCTCATTTCCCTCATTTGCTTCTCATACTTGCTTGACAAGGTTGTGAAAGTGGCTTGCGCGGATTCCTGATATCTACAAAATCACGACTGTATGGTTTGTCGTAATGACTCCAAAAAAGCTACAATGGGATAGTTCTTGGCAGATTTTGTGACCGCATTAACCGACTCTACTATATTCGATGTCATTGTAGAATATCGATTCGTTGGCATGTGGAATCGTGACCATTTAGCGGGCCCAACACCGTCCTACAAACATAAACATGATTATCTGTTAATGATATATTTCACAATACTGGAATAAATGTATGCACAATAATATAACTTGGTGGTAATATGTAATATATTACCAGGTAACTCTTTATCTTTCCATTAATCGTGTCGAGTTGTTGTATGTTGTAGTCGTATTCTGACAACGTGTAGGCACGAACAGCTGAATTAAATGTTTGTGTTATATTTTTACCCAATTTTCCATAACGTGACTTTAGATTTTGAAGGAGATGATACGAACAAATTCCATAACATGTTCCTGGATACACCTTCTCAATAGCATTTTTGATGCTATTATGGCGATCCGATACGAAGCACAACCCTTCTATGTAGTCGTATGCCTTCCTCAAATTTTCGAAGAACCATGTCCACGAGGCATCATTCTCACTATCTCCAATCCCGAAAGCAAGTATGTATATGCTATTATTTGCATCCTGTGTACACGCCGTAAATAACGTCCCACCATAGTGTCCACTTAAGTACGTGTCATCAACCACAACAACTGGCCTACAATGTCCCCAACCTTGAATTGATGAGCCTAGCGCCATGAAGCAATATTTGAACCTACTGTGACCATCAAGCTCCAGATCTGTGACCGTTCCAAGATTTGTATGTTGCAACATGGCAAAGAATCTTGGTATATTATTAAAAGAATCTGCTGGATCACCCCTAATCAGTTTCAAAGTTTCCTCCCGAGACCTCCACGCTTTCACATAATTCAACGATACTCCATACGTATGCACCACGTCATTACGTATATCATTTGGGGTATACAGAGTGCGTGACGATGTGTACTTGCATTTTATGCAGTGCGACACAATTGCTTTTGTTGCTTGCCTATGAGAACCAAGTATAATGTTAGAAGCACATCTGTGACGTTCTACAATATGCCTAATTTTAAACAAATCCGTTCTAGCCACCCTAGATGCTCTACAGATCCGATCACACTCGTCATATGAACACTTGACAAGATAGTCTTTCTTATCTGAACGAACAACCACATATTCAAACATGTTTTGGATCGCATAAAGGGACAAGCTCAGCTTCATGATCTCTTTGTTACGAAAAACCCTTCCCATCTCTACGTCCCTAGCGCTGGTGACCGATACAACCGTGACCTCATACTCATAGTTGTCAGACAATGGTTCTATTATCGTCCCGCATATATCTGATGACATATCCATCAATGAAAATTTTGGTCCACTGGGTTCCACACCAAATGGTAACATTCCATTGTTCTGTTGGCTATCTTCTTCCGTGACCTCAATGATGATTGGATATTTGGATGGGTCACGTTCCATATCTTTCAACGCCATGTATGACAACACATTATTGTCATTCTTGATCACAATTGGAGGTAGTTCACTATTCAAAACATACTTCATTGTGACTGCCACTTCAGTGAGATCCAATCTAATCTCAGCTATAACTGTATCAACCAGTTGCATGTACCCACAATTACTATCGATTAAGACCAATGAAGGCTCTGAACCATTCAATAGGCAAACATGTATGTATCCCATTTCTGAAACATCAACTAGAATAATGTCAATTACAAAACAAGGTGTAGGTCACAACTAATGAATAACACAGATTATGACACGGAGTCACATTTTGCGTGTAACAGCAAATTCGTCGCAGTTTCATTGCAAATTGGAACAGGTCATGGCATCATGTCACATATGTGTCAAAGTTTCAAATGGAGCACAATACGGTTATTACAGCAAATATGTAAAAGTTTCAAACGCAAATGGAGATTAGGTCAGAGCATCAAGTCACAGATATTGAAAAGGAGTCGCAATATGTAGACGAGAGGAAATGCGTCACCAATTATAATGCAATTAAGATCACAATCATAATTCACATATAACAGGGATTCCGTCGCAGTGGTTATCAGGTAACAAGCGGATTGTGAGATTAATTGATTTTCAATGACGTACCCGATGAAAATCGAAACCCTTGAATACGACAACGGCTGCTGAATTGGATGCTGTATGGACGAATCCGTTGACTAATTTGCTGTTAAACGATCGTCTTTCCCCAACTGTGACCTGGATTATGCGATCGACGTCAATCAAAGGAATTCCGTCAACAAAAAAAAAACAAATTCAGTTTTTTTGTCGTCGGCTTGGAGATGAAACATTTTATTTTAGGGATGTGAAATCTATTATGATACATACTGGTGTTGATGGAGATATGTGTGTTGATGGAGATACGTTCCTAGTTTTTAGGAAACTGATTTGGAAAAAGATTTTGACATACAGTTGTTTATGAAATCAGATTTCAAAAAATGTAAACATGTTACCTCATTTTTGAATTGGGCCAAATTTACTCTCGGTAATATGAATTTTTCCCTAGATGAAACCGACCATATTGAATTGTGCTTGGGTTTGGGTTGAGATAAAAACGACCCAACCCAACCCATGCCCATCCCCAAGTATTTTCACATAATTACATTTGACTTTCTATCTGTTTTTCTTTCTTTCTTTTTCTTTTTTTTATTATTATTAAAGTTGGGCGTACTTTCTATCTTTTTTTTTTTAATTATTTATAAAGTTAGGCGTACTTGGTCATTCTAGGTCAGAAGTTTGCTTCCTGTCAAAAAGTTGAGCGATTCGACACTATAGATGATTACCAATCGTAAATGTCTACATACTTACCATCTCCTAATGCATTTTTGCAATTTACTCGGGACCTTTAGATATCGAAAGTTGTAACAGTTGTATCTATTTTGTTCATTATGTGAGAAAATCATCTCAGTTCTCTCTTCGAATTGTTTCCATAATAGTTTCAAGTTGGACTGTAAATCTTTTTAATTGATACCAACATTTTTCAATGTTTTAACTTTGCATCTTCAGTGCATATTTATTTCTTGATCTTTACTTCCTTTATTAGATTCAGGCTATAATCTATTTAATTTTCTAGGCTACATGTTAAATACATTTTTGTCTCGTTCTAACACGAGGTATTTTCAGATTTGCTACTCAGTATTACTGCAGGAAGTAGATATTCCATCCTTCCAAATCTTAGATTTGTATATGTTGATGCTGACATTCACAAAGACTTATATACTGATTATTAAGCATTCTTCTAACGAGATTTACTCAACAAAAGAGAAACCAAATAAAATTTTGAGGTTCTATACTACTTTTATTGTGCCAATGCTGGGTGTTCATTCTCGACTTTGTAGCTCAGAGGCTACTGAAGGTGATGCTGCCTTTAAGCTTGGAACTGTGAAAAATACTGCAACAAGCATTACTAAGAGTGATGGAAGTCCAAATGCTGATGCTACTATCTTGAACTTGAAGAAGCCAAAAGCTAACTGCAATGGAGATTCAAACACATCACCTGAACGAGTCAGTTATTGTAAGATGGGCTTCACAAATATGGATACTCTGGTTGAAGAAGATGGATCAACTGTGGCATCTGGTGGACGCTTTCCAAACTCTGATACAACTGTTATCATAGAGCAAGATACAAATCATGGTATGTGTATAGTCAAACACTTGGTTCTATGAGGGGTTAAACCCCAACCTTAAGGGCCCTCACCGCCCCGCCCCTAAAGCTTTGTGAGAGATAAATCGCGGAATGTGCCCCAATAAACCAGGGAACAAAAGCTGCTTGTACACTGTGCCTACAAGGAATCCAATTCCATGTCTCAGGAATCGAACCCCCACACTGCGACTGTCAGCAAGGCGTGAGATAACCTCACTCCTGTCCTTTGCACCACTGGGCTTTGTCCCGGGGGGCCAAACACTTGGTTCTATGTTATTACTGATATGTGAGGATTGTCTGATATTTTGATGTTATCTTAGTGACTTATAGCAGCATTCTTTATCATATCTTCCTTTTTCATTTGTATTGATTTCTATATGTTTTGGATTTGCTATCGTGGAATATTCATTTTCAACTACAAAGGCGTGCTTCAAATTCTTCTGGAGCTAATAATGATCTCGGTGATCCAATGATGCATTTAAGATCAGGATCAAAGCTATCGATTCATTATAATGAGATCACATGTCGAGAAGATATAACCCAACTACGTCAACAGATGGACTTAATGATGAAACAAATGGCCACCATCAAGAATCAACAACTAGAGGTGTTGGAATCCTTAGGTGGCTCACTTGGCAATGAGTTTTCAGGTGGGGATTCCGACATGAATTTAAATATTCTCACTCCTTCCAATTCGAACAATGAGATGAGTTTGATGGTGATGATAGTTATGATGATCCGCCTATTTTAATATGGAGAATGTAACAGAAGTGCCAATAAAAAGGAGAAATAATATGTGAGAATTTATTCTTAGAAGTTTTCTACAAACGTTATTTGATATAAGATTGTTTGGCCCTAAGGAAGACAAGAATTCAAGAAGATGAACCACAAAGACCAGAGAAAATAATATGTTGACAATATAGACATTGGCGATTGAAGGATCATTGAAGGAGAATGAAGCAATCCACCTAATCAATGATATATTGGTTCTTCCGCTCTTTTATTGCATTACATTATTAGGACTTTTGAACTAGAGTTGGACTAATTATAGTGGTTATTGTGCTTCTTGTAACTTAGGGTGTTTCAGTTGAATCAAATAAAATGTTTACTTATCAAATTTTTCATGGCTACTTGTAAGTCCGTGGACGTACAACTAGGAAAGTCATCTCAAAGCTTTCATCTTAAAATTTAGGCTCAAAGATATGATGCATGTTAGGTCGTACAATTTATACTTGGATTCTTCTAAATTAAAAGGCATAAAACAGCTTTTCAATGTGCATAGCTACATTTGCGTGATCAAAAGAAATCAAGTATAAATTGTACAATTTCAAATGCATCTTATCTTCGAGCTAGAATTTTATGATGAAAGCATGGGTTGACATTCACACACTTACAGTGGTCATGAACAATAGTAAGTAAACATTTTCTTTAATTCAATCGAAACAGCTTGAATCATGATAATCACTATAATCAGTCTTCCTCCAGTTTTAAAATCCTATTAGTATAATGCAATAGAATATTGGAAGAATCAATTATAGCTTCTTTTTCGATCTTTGCCTTATTAAATTATTGTTTGGTGGTTGTATTTATATTCTATAGAAGACATTGTAATACACATAATGATATTGAATAAAAAATAAAGTTTGGAGTTATGCATATGTTTAGACCTTGATTTCTATAAATTAATATAACAAATAATTTTGTTATTGTTAAACGACATACAAATGCGAAGAAAACTTCACAAACTAAGATAGCACCTCAATTTATTGAACAAAGAGAACTCCACAAACTAAGCATTATTCAAGTCGACTTTGTAGAATGGGAAATGGGATGAGAATATCATTCCATTTACAATTTATTAGAATATTAATTGCTCAAATAACAGATAATGAACTCAATTAGTTGATTGAGTGCCATGAGTTCTTTGGAGGCTAACTAATGTATAGTATGCTCCATTTGGTCCTTTAGCTAATAAGGAAGAGTGAGTACCTTGTTCTACCACTTTCCCTTTGCTCAAAATAGCAATCATATCACAATTTTGTATGGTACTTAGCCTGTGTGCCACAACTACACTAGTCCTTCCCACCATCACTCGCTCAAGTGCATCTTGCACCACTTTCTCTGATTGCGAGTCTAACGCACTAGTGGCCTCGTCTAGTAACAAAATCGTGGGATTTTTCAAAATGGCGCGTGCTATTGCAATTCGCTGCTTCTGCCCCCCGGATAGCTGCAGCCCTCTATCACCGCACCATGTATCGTATCCATCCTTCAACCCTGCGATAAAATCATGGGCATTTGCTGCCTTCGCCGCCACGGTGATCTCAGCTACGTCCATGTGCTCTGATGTTCCATATGCGATATTTTGGTGTATGGTACCGGCAAATAATGTGGGCTCTTGGCTTACGAGTGCAATATGCTTCCTCAGTGACCTTAGGTTATATGACTTTATATCTAGGCCATCAATTTTTACTACTCCTTTAAGTGGATCATAAAATCTTTCAACCAAACCTATTATAGTCGATTTTCCGGAGCCACTTTCTCCTACCAATGCTGTTGATTTTCCAACTTCCATTATAATTGAAAAGCCTTTGAAGATCATCACTCTAGGCCTTGCGGGATAGGCAAAATCAACATCTTGCAACTCAACATGGCCAGTTAATTTATTAGGCTTGTGGCCTTCTGGATCATCTGGCTCAATTAAGGAACATCGATCCAACACTGCAAAAACTGATCCAACTGAATCGGAACCTTTGGCTAGATCATTTGTCATAGTCCCAGCATCAGCTATGACACGACCTGTGCTCACCAAGATCATGAATGTTTGGAACAGTGCTTTTGATCCCATGAAGCCTTCTGCTACCAGTTTACCACCATACCAGAAATCCAAAGCCCAAGTTAATGTCATGAGGCCTTGAGAGGCCCCAAGCCCTATACCTGCAAACCATGATTGTCGAATATTTTCCCTTTGTGGCCCTTCTTGAGCTTTTTCGAGCATCTGTAGAATTCTTGATTGGGAGGAAAAGGATGT